GAAGTACTTAATTATAAAGTTAAGCAAGGCTGGGCGCAGTGGCTCATGCTGGTAATTTCAACACTTTGGGAGGCCAAGGCAGGTGAATCACCTGAGATCAGGAGTTCGAAACCAGCCTGACCAACATAGTGAAACCCTGTCTCTACTAAAAATACAAAATTAGCTGGGTGTGGTGGTACATGCCTGTAATCCCAGCTACTTGGGAGACTGAGGCAAGAGAATTGCCTCCAGGAGGCAGAGGTTGCAGTGAGCTGAGACTGCGCCATTGCACCCCACCCTGGGCAACAAGAGCGAAACTCTGTCTCAACAAAAAAAAAAGTTAACCAAGTCTTTATTCATCTCTTCACACTAGAGAAGACTTTCCTGCCTTCTCTAATCCTGAAATGACTTCCCAATTTAAAAACTTATTTTTGCCTACAGCTACAGTAAGATTCACGTGCAGAAAAGATAGACCACCATCCACCGTAAGACAGTCATACATCACAGGATTTCAAAGCAGAAACTGCACATTGCAACACCAAAAAACAGCGTATTTGCTATTCAGTCCCACACCGTAATATTCAGAAATTAAAATGTAAATGCTTTTCAATATGGAAAAGACTTTCTAGTTTTGCACAATCTCCATGATTCTAAACATTTAAGTAACTTTTCTAGACCTTGTGAATTTGCATGTGACTGCTACATCAAACGGTTATAACCTAAACAATTTATACTAAACTTTTAAACTAGTTTCATTTGCTAATCCTGTAAAGGTGCTTGCTAAGTCCTCACTTTCCCTGCATCTACTTGATCCTTAATATAGCTTAGCTAAGACAGACAGTAATTTCACGAAGTAAAAAAAAACTTTCTTTTTTTTTTGAGACGGAGTGTCGCTCTGTCACCCAGGCTAGAGTGCAGTGGCACAATCTCGACTCACTGCAACCTCTGCCTCCTGGGTTCAAGCAATTCTCCTGCCTCAGTCTCCCGGTAGCTGGGACTACAGGTGCACACCACCACACCCGGCTAATTTTTGTATTTTTAGTAGAGACGGTGTTTCACCATATTGGTCAGGCTGGTCTCGAATTCCTGACCTCAGGTGATTCACCCACCTCGGCCTCCCAAAGTGCTGGGATTCCAGGTGTGGGCCACTGTGCCTGGCCAAAAAAAAAACTTTAATTTAAAAAAATCTATAAAGGAGGTTCTAGGCACATTCTAAGCCTGGGGTGGGGGGTTCCGCCAAAATCTCACAAAATTTCCCCTAACAAGTTAAATGAAAATTGAAAGATAGTTAGAAATTATAAATAATATTCAATCGGTCAACAATTATTTCTTTATACAGTAATCTAAAATACCTACCTCTATACTGGGTACAACTGGCAGAACAGATTTTCTTTTTTTAAAGCTCAAGACATAATCCTGTCCCCTTGGGGACATACTGACATTCAGGGAGACAAGACTAAGAGACATGAGGCATTTAGAGAACAGCTTCAATATTAAACTGTGAGTAAGGATTACAACTACAATAGTGTTCAGAGGAGAGACTTTTATTCCTAACTCATTATGTCTTTGAACACATAGATATCTCTTATTTAAAACCATCTTTATACAGATTTTTAAAAAATAATTAAATCAAAAAATTAAACAATCAGATTTTAAAAACATTGTATCAATTTACTCACTACAGATGATTATACACTAGACTATTCAATCTTTAATGTCAAATTACTATATTGCTGACTTACCAGATTTAAAATCAGGAAGTACCAAGAACTGCAATGACTGGCCTTGCTTTAACAATTAATATTGATAGTGTATTTAATAAATGGTGCTGGGAAAATTGGCTAGCCATAAGTAGAAAGCTGAAACTGGATCCTTTCCTTACTCCTTATACGAAAATTGAAAAATTCAAGA